CCGGCTCCATGTGTTATGGCTCTGTAAGCTTAGTACGTGTTAACTGCCCGGCTCCATGTGTTATGGCTCTGTAAGCTTAGTACGTGTTAACTGCCCGGCTCCATGTGTTATGGCTCTGTAAGCTTAGTACGTGTTAACTGCCCGGCTCCATGTGTTATGGCTCTGGAAGCTTATTATGTGCGGCCGATCCCGTGTGTTATGGCTCTGTAAACATAGAGTTAACCCTTGTGTGCTTTATAGAAATGTTTTATCGTTGTCGCTCAGCAAGCTTCGTGTATTTGCTGACTCAGATATAAATTTCCTTCCTTCAGAGTTTCGCGATCACTTACACTTTCATGACTGTTTAAATGTTCTTATTATTGTTCAGTAATTTAACTGAATTTTTCATAGGCCTCACTAGCAAGGCTAATTTGTTATTCTTGTGCAGATGTTCATCATTTCCTGGCAGATGTTCTGCCAAGTCACCACCTGCCAGAGCCAGCTGAGCTCCAGAGAACACAATTATTAGACCAGCTGCTGGATGTTGCCACTCGATACCCGCTCGTGAGCTTAAACATCACCACTGCACCCGCCGCTGCTGCCGCTGACGCAGCAAAAGTTGAAGGTCTTGAGCCTAAGGGCCTCGCTCTGGTCGACTCCGGCAAGAAAGGTGAGATAAAACCACACAAGGAAAACTGTTTAATATTCACGAGCAGTTTTCGAACTCATTTCTGGGTTTCATAATGAAATAATATAATAATTGGAAAGGTTTTACTTCCGCCTTATTCTTTATCACCTTATTTTAATTCAGAGCTGTAAGAGACTGGCAAACCGTTGCAATCCTTTCGATTGGATCAGCTACAAATATTCACTATGTGTATTCATAAAATATTACCCATACAGTTGTCACTTGTCAAAGGTTTCTTCAATCTGTTGCAAGATTCTATCAATCAATGGCAAGATTCCATTTATGGAATCTTGTCACAGAGTACATTACTTGAGTTGGACTTGATCAGAAATAACGAACTTTGCATCTCCCCATCCTAGGTAAAATTCATTAATTTGGAACCATGTAGCAAAATAATCTAGGTACTGAGTGAACAATCGGCTGAACTCATTAATTAGAGTACGACTAGGGTTTAGGCCTAATACAACTATTTCAGTCGTCCAGTTGAAGAACTTATCAAGTAATTCATTTATATGGTTCATTTTACACGAAAACCTCACATTGTAATTGGTCCTCAGTGCTAAAGAGAAGCGGCAGCGTGAGTAGCCACAGCAGCGGCGGCAGTTACACCAGCACGAGCTTCACTAGCAACGACTACACCAGCGCCAGCTATACCAGCAACGGTTATGGCTCGTACGAGGCAACGGCCAACAGCGGCCAAGTTGATGTTCTGCACGAAGACATTTACGAGGAGTTCGATACCGTGGTGAGTAATGAATATATCTCTCACTACCTTCCGCCAGCTGAATACTACGTTCGCTTACCCATTATCAGCTGAATACTTCGCTCTCCCAAGCCCCCAACAGCTGAATAATGTGCTCGCTTTACTCATTGTCAGCTGAATACTTCGCTCAACCAACTCCCCCAACAGCTGAATAACAATGCTCGCTTTACCCTTCGATGGCTAAATACTTCGCTCTCCCTGCCGTTCGTCACTATTAATATGGCCTATGTATATTTGGAATCTGCAAGCATCAGTCACTTTTGGTTCTTCGTTTCGCTTCAATAAATGAATAAATAAATGGGAAAAAATTGTCTGCTTAATTTTACGCGAATAAGTTTTCAGCGTAATCAATGGGTATACAACAGTTATGCTTTCTATATAGTATAAACGATCGATATCATCATAATTAATGTATAATTTATTTTTGCACAAGTATTATTCAAAAAACACGGACAAGTGGTCCATGTTTTATAACGTTTTAAAGTTGCAGTTTGATACGAGTTATTTTCTAATATGTATGCAAACTTAGCTGCCTACAGTTCCGAACAACACACTTTTTATGTTATTAGAATTCTTCTTAGGAGATACTGATTTTATTTGTTGATTTACAGCACGCTCGGATGCCAGCAAACTCATGCGGCGCAGGTTTGGACAGTCTCACTCCATCCGCAAACGCTGCGGCAACGACGACCTCAGCCAATAGTTCGAACCTCTTCTTCAGCGCCATCAGAAGTAGCCTCTCGTATGGCAAAAAGAAAGACAAAACTGGTCTGCAGTCCCAGACAAATAATGACCACTCAACTGAAAAAAAATCAAAGCAAATTAATCGTACATCTTTAAATGATTCGAATTCCGAGGATACAACTGGAAGCAAAGAGAACAATAGGAATCACAGAAAAACCTCGTCCAACGTCGAGCAATCCATTCTTGCGGGAGAGCGTAGCAGCATTGAGAGTTCGTCATCGAACTTGGAAGATAATAACGAATATCGACCGGAAAATGGGTTATGTCAGAGCAACTTCTATGAAGAACCCGAGGCCGAAGAGGTGGCCAGTTTGGTGAACAACGTTTCGGCGGAGGCGGAGACGCTGGAGGCTGAGAACAATTACGCCCAGGGCTTACAACCCATCGCCTTCAGCTCTAACTTGGGTAGGTTAGACGCACTGACAATAAATTATATTTTATCTCTAGGCTACAGCATGAACATATGTATCACTGTTTTGTACTTCAAATTAACTACTGAAATGAACTGCTTCAAAACGCATACATTGTACCGAACTGTCTAGTGCTATCATTCATTAGTGGCTTCCATTATATGCTGTCAATAGAAAGCCGTCACCAATCGTTAGTATTTATAATTGAATGTGATTGTCATCATTGAAATAATTCCCTGAAATTGCTGTATTACAGCGTGTTGTTCTCGGCACGGAGTTCTCCGCAAGAAGACCAAGCGACGTCTGCGTCCCTGGCGACAGTTCCAGTGCGTCGTGGCCAACGGCAAACTCTTCCTCTACAACAAAGAAACTGATCATCGACAGTTGAAGGTATCCTTAATTGTACACGAGCAATTTTTCTTTTTGTCTTCGTTATTAATTTTTTGACCACTAAATAATGGTGCCAAAAATATAAAAAAAGTCAAAATAATAATTTGATTAATAACCAACAAACTGATCTCTGAAACCTTGATAGTTCGGGTACACTTTTCTTAACGAATTGTGATTTAGCGTTGACAATTCTAGTATTAATTCACAAGCACTGTATTTAAGCACTACTACTACCCGACGGGGCTACTATACGCGCTACTATTGTTAGCAATGCATAGTTCATGTTGAGTAACCTGACTTTGTTTTATGTGTTTATGTGTTCACTGAATTAAATACTACGGAGATGAAATTTTGTGTTTATCGAGTTAATTACCACAGCGCTTATATTACGTGGATAATGTTCAATAGACATGTTCATTGAGTTGATCACTCCGTAAGTTATAGAGCGTGGGTATTGTTCAAGAGATGTATTCACTGCTTTAATTATTACGCCCATTGCAGTGCGTTGAGCTTGGTCTGTACGACGTGCGCGTCGCTACAGGCGAGGAGACGTCGCCTCAGTCGGCGCGGGACCCGCCGTGTCTTGAGCTCGTCGCACCAGGCAGCAAGACGCACACGGTGAGGCACGGACTCATTTCAGGACTCAATAAAACGTTTAATAAATGAAGAGAAAAGATAGAAACTGATAGCGGGAGGAAAATAAACGGCTGTCCGAAGTATAGGTATTCGAAATTAAGTCCCAACATTTGAGGTGCGGAATATATTATAGTTAAAAAAATGCGTTATTTGCTATCCTGTTATTTTTTTCTTTCTTGTATGGATTGAGGTATATAAAATGGGTTAATGATGATTAGTATTCAATTTGTTGCGTAGTAACGTACACCGCGCTTCTTTCTATTTGAAAGTAGATGCATAAAATTCCAATGCCGTGGATGAAAAGTGTCATAAGTTGAGTGTTGACAAGCTAAAAAGAAGAAGCCGAGCCTATTACATAGGCATTAACAGTTTGCAAAAAATTCTTGAAAGAAAGGATTTCTAAATAATTATATCTCACTTATCTTTGAACTTGTCTCCCACTTACCTTTAGATATGAAGAGCGTCTAGTTGAAAAATACAAGGCCAATATTTGATGACCCGTGTTCTCTTTACCTCGACCTATCAGCGTCTAGAGTAGATTGAATATTCTATGCCAAGCTGTAGCCGCATATTTTGTTGCTGTATCATAACGCTGCATTTCTTCTATTTATTTCATCTTTAGCTTTAGTTCTTTAGAGAGCATTTATTGCCTAATGCTATTGGTAACGATTTTGCTCGTTTTCTCCTTCAGTTCATGGCTCGATCTGTTGCTGATCGAGACGCATGGATCCAAGCGGTTGGGCAGTACACAAAGAACAGCAACTCTCTTCCTGCGCCTTCCACCCGACACTCGAATGCCGTCTCGACAGCTGATCTTGACACTTCGAATCCTCCTTCTAACTCATCAAGCCGGACAGAAGATGACTCTCCAGTTAATAATAAAGGTGGTTCTGATACTGAAAAGAAGAAAGAAAAACTGCGTAAGCTGTCGGATTTTATTCCGAAACCTTTGCTGAGTCGAGGCAGCAGCAGTACCTCCTTAGGAACAAACAATTCGCCCTCGCCGAATGTGACAACAAATAGTAAGCAAGATCCCCTGAGCGGATCGAGCGACCTGTTGACTGCGGAGGAGGGTTCCGGCGAAGACTGCTTTTATTCAGAGGAGGTAATTGTGGTCAAATCCTCGTATAAACTTAAAGAAATCAGTGGGTCTCAATGATCCACTTAGGTGAGACATGCGTGGACTTGAAGTGGTGAAATACTTTGTAGGTCTTGGTGCAAATAACTGTTTAAAAAGTGTTTGATTGGGTACAATTTGCGAAAGAATTAGAAATCTGAGCAAGACGAAAAAAGATTACTCGAGTTATTTCTCATTAGAAGTTCAATTTACGGGTAAACTAAAATAATTTAATACATAGTTTATCATACAATTCGCTCAAAGCTACCGTTTGTTTATTTTTGGTTTTAACTTTTTGGTTTAACTTGTTGTTATTTTTAATAATTCTCTTGCTGCGGACTCTCACATATTCTTCGTTTCATTTATGGTATTTTATTCTACAAATTTTTTTCTCACTGCAGATGTATGAGGAATTTTACCAATGTTTTAACCGTGAACTTTCTTACATTTTCTATTTCTTAATTTCCTGATTTTTTTACCAATATTATCATTGCGGTCATTGGAACATTCTTTATAGCTCGATTTTTTCATGTAATTTTCTCTTCAATTTTCTAGCTGCAGACGTTTCAGTATTGTTAATTCCTCAACATTTTCCGTTATTTTTAGCACATTTTCTCATTTATGGAAAAAACGGCGCTATTATGCTCTTCATTTCCGTCCCCCCGTCTGTCCGTGACTTCTCGGACGAACGCTAAAATGCACTCCCTGTCACTCACTGCAGTGACTACTGATCTAATTTTCCTCCCTTCAGTTGTATGAAGAAATGAACCTGGACGAGCTCCGCTGCAGGTCAGGCCCCTCGCTATCTGAGATGCTCGAGCCTCACCTCTTCCCCAACTGCGACACCAGCAGCGCCTACTACTGCGTGAGTCATGCCTGTCTCGAGGCTTGTTGATACAAACATGATGGCTTATCGGTCGGCTTTAATAACTTGCATTTGGTATCTCTTGTTTGCTTCACGAGTATAAATGAGTGGTAAACCTTACGATTCCGAGGTCTGTAAATTTAAGAAAAATACTTTGTTGTTTTAAGGCTTATAGGGAGTGATAAGAGAATTATTTATGTTCATATTGGTTCAATTTGATGCATTAAGTTGATGTTGAGGCATGATTATTCGCTGAAATTATTGCGAATTGTTTTATTTTACAAGAAATAGATCTGTGAAGTACCATTCCAATATTTTTCAATTCTAACCTTCCAGGTGCCAAATGACATGAGAGGCGAGGATGTCACGAGCTGTACTTCCGATGAGGAGAAGATATCGAACGCTGAGCCTCAGCCTTGTGTTGCTTCCCCTAAAACCCCCAGGAAGACTGCCCCTGTACGCCCGCCACCTCCCAACATTTCCCTTGGGAAGCTGGAGGCCAACAGAAGTGCACTCCATGACGAAATATTGAGCCCAAAAAATCCTGTCTTGAACGCTCTCGCCTGTTCCACCTCAAACAAAAAAGCTGCCGTGAAGTCTCCGGGATCTCAACTTTCGAAAATATTTCCTGCGTGTAGAAGCCTTCCCTTCAGTTCCCCTAGTCGTCCTTTGCCGGCTACGCCACAGAAAGATATGGAAGAAAGCGGGTTTTATTGTGAAATTTCCGATGACGACTTCTATGAAGAAAGCGAAGCCGATGGCACAAGCTTTGCTACAACATCCATTACGGTTACGGGTTCATTGCCTAATAGGCAGCCTGTGTTGAATCCCCGGCCACCGCTGCCGGTTAGAGGACCACCGCCTATCCCAACTCTGCCTCATTCGTCATCTGTCAGAGCTCCGATCCCTGCGTCAAGCGGTACAGATGTCGCAACGAATTCGCAACTGTTGGAAGAATATGACATTCCTGACGACGTCCGCATACACACGGCAGTGGAGAATCAGCAACAAACTTCTAGCAGCTCAAGCATTGGAAATAGTTCCAGTGACTCTGATTCCGTAGCGCCAGAGGTAGATAATGTGTATAAAATTCCAAATGCTACAGTTCCAGTATCCGAGGATATATATAAAGTCCCGCCGTCAATTCCAATACCGGTTGGCAACAATAATCTTACACTAACGAATAAATCCGACATAAATAACAAAGTTGAAGCTAATAACAGCGATGGCAACAGTCTATCGACCCTCGGTGGTGTAACATCTGAAGTAAAAAATGTAGATCCACTTGAGCCTGTGCCGCCAGTTTCGTCCTCTGTGTATCAGAGCCCTGCACCGGTGTCTGTTCCAGTCGACAAGTTCCTCTGTCGTGCATTGGGAACTGGCAACAAAAAATCTGGAGAAAATGAAGACTTGAAAAGCAAGTGTAGTGCTGATGCTACCAAGATGAAGACGGTAAACACTAATACATCTGTCGGTAGATCACTCAACTCATCAGAAAAGAAACCAGAAATGAATGTATCTATTAAGGACAGGATAGCGCTATTTAATCAAAACAAGGCCTTGGAGACAACGCAACTCTCAATTAATAAAACAATCAACCAGTATTCAGACGAATTGTTGGTGAGATTGGATGATAAAGAAATTCGTCTTGACAATGCGAAGAAGAAAGCCTTTTTGCAGTCGACGCTGAATTTTAGCAACTATAGTCCATCTAAAGGACAAACTAGTCGCGAATCTTAGAACATAAATAAAAGATAATTCATTTTATTCTTTATATTCAATCATTCTTAACTATTTTCACCGTAGAGTACTGCTTTCGATCACTGCAGTTGTGCCGCCTTTGTATTTGAAATGTGATGCTACAATTTTCAATGTGCTTTCCATTTGTACAGATTATCGTCCTTGAGATGGACTATTTTTATCATCTGCTCAGCATTTAGTTGCAATTGATGCATAATAACTGATGTTCTGTCACTTTTATCATTTTGATTACATTTTTATGCTACCGTTATACGTATTTTACTCGTTAATTTTGCTTCAGAAAATACTACGAATCACAAAGCGAGGAGACTAATATACTATTTGAATGCATTTTCTAGAAATATACCTGTATTTATGTTCTTCTCAATTCTTATGATCCATCATAAAAGGTTTGCCAGATTCTAGTATTGAGTTCAAAATGAATTAAAAGGACAGCATTATAAGAAGGGGGTTTTTAAAGTTTTTGTCTTTGGATCTTCCTTCGCAATTCTCTAAAAAGCAAACCTAATGTCATAAACTTCCGTCATGTATTGCGTTTGTTGCCGCTCTTCACTGCTAACAGGCCAAATTATCCGCTCAATTCATGAAACAATTGGTGCTTCTCGTGTACCATTTCATCTAAGTTCATATAGGCACAACGATATCCTGAATGTTAGGTTGGTACGTAACCTAGAATTTTGTGCGTAGGCGTAGCACAAGTTACATTATTGCAATATTATTTACGTGACTGCATTACATCCATGTTTTATTTTGTAATTCTATATGCAGAGTCTAAAATAAAGACTCGACAATCAACATCGTATCTCAATTGTAGGATACAAACAATTAACCATAGTTTCTTTTTGAGTGTGCTCGGGGCCAATGTGATACACTGCCTGCAAGGCAAGTGTACATAGCTCTTTAATTAAATACTGAATAATTAGATAATGCGAAGGACTGAACAATTTATTTTAATTAAAAGCATTGAAAGATAGAATTGTAAGGTATCGGGAAAATAGCGCCGAATTCAACTTACTTCAAGTAATCAAAATTCTGATCAGTATTGGCCTACAGGGAAGACACTGCCTGAAACAGATGTGTTGTCAGTTGGCATTAGCACTTAAAAGTTGTAAGAGTTCTACACACGGTACACGTACTTACAAGAATTTTTACAGGTTCACTTCCGGTCACAGATGTTTTAATTGTTGACAATTGATACCAAAAAGAAGGATAACAAGAAATTTACAGTTTTCCATCAATTCAAGAAGTCGCGACGTCAACTGCAGTAATTCTTTCCCTCACATATGGTAACTATTTTACAGAGCCCTCAGATCCTCATAAACTGACTACAGATAATGTATCTATAGATAAAGGGTTAATACCCGGCAGATCTAAGAGGAAATTAATTTACTTGAATTTGAATAATAGTCTTGTTGAATAAATGAGAACATTCAAAGAGAGAATTATAATATAATTCTCATTATGCTGCAAACGAGTAATTGCGATTTCGTAATTTACTTAACACGTTGACTACAATTGCTTCATCTTGTACTATTATTTCATTTTTTGTACTTTTTTTTAAGCAGGGTTGCCAGACGGTCATTTTTTCCGGACAAATTCCGTGATTTAGTTTTTCTCAATTGCGTTGGCCGGCTAAAATTTATGACAGGGGTACTTATTAATTAAATTTTAAATACTGCTAAAAGAAAATAAATGGAATTTTTATAGCGGAACCTACAATTAAACTAGTATACATTGAATTATCGGCCTTTTTTGGCCTTTTTTGTTCTCGGATTTGGCCGATTTTAGGCAACCTGAATTATGTACCACTACCTCCTGGAGAAATACATTTCGTGGTACGCATATGTACCAATACGTAGTCAACGTGTTAAGAAAATTTTTAAATTAGTACATTGTGTTCATGATATCGACGGACCAATTGTTAAATGTAGGGAATTGTTTAAAGTGAGAGGCGGCCATTCATCATGGCCTGGGACTGTTACGTCCGAAACAAATACTAAAAGAACAAGTGGATCCCAAATTAAGTATGAAGCTTTGAGTAAATTGCTATGAATGAATCAAGTTGTAACAAATATGATGGGAATTTAATCTTCTTTCGTTGAATGATCTTGATTCGAAGGTTCAGTTCTGTTGCCGTTATTGATATTGATGGTTGAAGCGCAATACAGAATTTTTGATCCTTCAATGAATCGTTGGAAGTTTCACAGAAGGATCTACTGATAAAAAGTGCTCAGAACCACATGATAAATCCTAAAATATTATCGAATGCTCAAGAATCGCTACAATATAAATGCAAAACGAGTAATTTTAACCTCGGACCAAACTTCCGAGATCATATATTACCGTTGGACAGACGAAAAAATATCACTTCAGAACAAATCTCTTATCGTCGAGTGGTGACAGACACGTCCTCGACGATGTGATGTATGGTGCCATCAGGCTGATGCGAGACGCTGTGGTGTGGACCTGTATCATCACCCACAAACGCGTTAGCGGTGGTGACCTCAACACCTTGCACAACGCCTGCGTGGTGATCCTCCTGTAGAATGCATCCAGGCTCGCGTCCTTCTTCTCCCTCGGTCAGAAGTCCATCGCCTTCGCCTTCAGTTAACAGGCCGCCCTCGCCCTCGGTCTCGAGACCAGCACCGTCCGTGTCGTCGTCACCCAAGTCGGACTCTGCCAAAACTGCCACCTGCAATAATAAATCTGAATGAAAGCCTGGGGAAAAAAATATGTAGTTAAGTTTCTCAAATACTAAGATACTCTAACTTAACAGATACTAAGATGCTCTAAATACTCTAACGCTGATTATTGTTTCAAAAACTCGAAAAACTCGAAACAAGATACTGAACTCAATGCTGACATCCTATAGTAAAATATTAATAACTTATACTAAACGTTGGGACGCAACGTGAAATCCACACCAAAATCAAGTCGTAAACAGCAACACCATTAATCAAATCAAATGTTAGCTCTTCATTTATAAACTAAATTACTAGGAATTGAATAACGTACGACATTAAAATAATATAACATGAAAAGAACCTCAGCCAGAATATCCCGTTGCTGCAGAGGGGACCTTTCACCATCCACACGAACCCTGTCCTCAGACTTCAGCTGGTACCATTCCTGGCGGATTTCTTCCTCCTAACAAAACGAAAAAAAAAACATTTTTCTAAGCAAATTTGTATTAAATTGGATTAAAAGAAGCAATAAATACGTGACAAACTATTAAAATACAGAACTTTGTGAAACCTCGCTAATTCCACTTATGCATGAAATCACCGTGTAGAACACACCACTGTATGATACAATTTATTACCGCAATAATAATTTGCTTGCGAGCAAATAATTCACCTTATTGAAGATGTGCTCGATCGCCGGCAGGAGTTTTTCACAGGCGTTGGCGACCTCAGAAGGCTTCCGGGAACTGAGACGACAGCGAGACTCCTTGAAGAGACGAACTTCACGTCTCAGGTTCTTCATCTTCACCTGACGTGATAATAAAAGAACAAAAACTAAAAAAGCTGGTGCTTAGGCCGGTGAAAGTTCGTTTTCTGTAAACAGATGTTTTAAAACGGCCATTAGATTTAGTAATATTGCAGTCTAGAAAGGACAACCTATTGTTCGATTCAAGTTCCATGGGAAATTTAATAGAATTATGTTGCAAATTTAGGTAATCTAAGAAAAGTTTTACATGAGAAGGATGCTTGAAAATAAGAAAGGTGTCATCGACGTATCTGTTATAAAAAAAGTGGCTTAAAATCAGGAGGACAATTGGTCAGCCATGAAGCCTCGTGAAAACACATAAAAATATTCGCAAAGGTTGGGCCGAGGGGAAGACCCATGCCCAAACCATCAATCTGTTTGTAAAATTTACCAGCAAATATGAAAATCGAATTTAGAACTGATAATTCTAGCAGGGATTAAAAATAATTGCGGTTCAAACCAATAACAGTATCTTGAATATCCTTAAACAGAGTAATTAGACAGATCCCTATAGTTTCAAAAAGCGGTACATTTGTAAATAAATTTTCTACGTCAAAAGAGGCCATTGCTAAGCCCTGAACATCAGTAAAATCTTTCAAGCGGTCAACAAAAGTATAAGAATTGTCTACTGTATACTTGTTAGTTGTAAGACAGTTTAAGACAGGAACTAAAAATTTAGCCAGTTTAAAACTAGGGGCATTATATGCGGCAAAAATTGGTCGGAATTGAAACTTTGTGGCAAAATCAGACTTATGAATTTTAGGCAAGCCATATAAAATCCCAGGGCATGAACCGGAGGCGTAAAGTTTAGAGTATGTATCAGATGAGAAGGCAGACGAGTCCTTGAGTTTTCGCAGAAAGCTATTGATTTTATCTTCGATTTTCAAAACAGTTTTAGAGATTGGATCGGTTATTTCGACAAATTTAGAAGGATCAGTGATGAGTGCAGTAAGGCTACTGTTATATCGACTACGATAAACCAAAACCACGCCCCTGCCCTTGTCAGGTTTACAAATGATCAAGTCTTTATTTTTGGTCAAGTTTTTCAATAAAAGCGTGTCACTGGGCTGAAATACAGAAGAAAAAATTTTATATGACTTAAAGCCGTAAAAATGACGCTAGGCTAAGCTCTGCAGTTCCCAAGAAACTCAGCTGGGCGGTTAGGAGTAGGAACATTCTTTATGCTGAGAGCTAGTCTTTCAAATGCTAAAATTTTTTTTATAAAAGTCCAACTTAAAAATTGGCAGACAAAAATCAAGGCCAAAGGCCAGCAAGAATTTGATACGGGGTTCCAAGTTGAAAGAACTATAGCAAGCATAGAGGGAGGAGTTATAGGACTGGGCAGTTACTATCGCGCCCTCCTCATTCGGCTGTGCGCACTCACGCCGAACAGTGCAACGTTCCAGTGTCCGACACAGACTTTAAGGTTTAGCTTATAGTTCTGGTGCTTCCGATCTGCATATTTTGGAATCATTGTATATTTTTAAAGAGAAGCCTAGTTTAAATGCTGCCTATAGTTCTTATCCATTAGAAATTGTGAATGGATAGGTACTTACTTTATATTATTCTGCCCTTTGTCTGTAAATTTAGGTTTTTGTGTTTTTTTTATTAACTCCAAACTAATTTTCTACCTTTATCTGTATTCTAGATTTATCGAACTGACGATGGAGCTGGTCTCCGAAACGTTTTCAATAGAGATATGCAAAATTTCTGTGGTATTTTCTTCGCTTTTAAATTTCTAGTATATGTAATTTATTATTTATATATTATATTTAAACGTAAGATGTACATGTACCTGACACTGACGCCAGTTCTTTTCAACACCGCGCGACTGCAGTGTACGGGCCACACGCTTGCACAGCGACATCGACCTAATGAAGTACGAAGGCGGAACCTGCACATCACGAGTATAGAATTAAGGTGATTGCTGAAATGAAATTAATCCACAACACCGAAACAACGAAGCCTCCTACCAACAGTAGAGATTCGTCGTTGTCAAATATGTAGCGCCTAATACAAGCAATCGATCAACTTTGTATGTAGACACGCAGAGTTCATTGGCCAATAAAGGATTAACTAAATTAGCCGGAAAAGTCGTAAATGCGAGGCGTCATAATAGGTACAGAGAGTAGCCTGTGCCAGCTATACATAGAAAAGAATTGAAAAATAGTTTACTATAAACCTAATAACTATAGAAGATCATCCACTAATACCCCCAGAACGTAATTGACACACTGAAATAAGCGATAAATTTACTAGCCTCAACACTACCAGGACTTTGAATCCATTCGTCACTAATATATTTTAATTAAATTCATTTTTACGAATATTGTTGCTCAGTGGATAAGTTCACTTTTGTTAAGGTCTCGCCCCAAGCTTTGAGTAGCGCCTCTGTGTCGGCCACACTCCACGTCTTGCGGGATGAGCAGGTGCAGATCTCCAGATCGTCATGACAGTGACCTGCGTTGACATATTCAAGTTAATATTGTGATCTCCGTATTCTAAATATCAACAGTAATAAAGCTAACGAAACGGCGTGCAAAAATAAACGTCATTTCATATGTCGTTCAAGTAACCTAGTAGACGTTAAGAGAAGAGTGATTGGCAAACTCAAGCTCATAATCAAGTAGCATATCATACTGTGGTTAGTAGGTTTAGGATTTGTCCCTCATTTTGTAACTGACCTTGTTGGGTGCTCATACGTCGGATTTTATTAATTGGTTCGCAGCTGCTCTCATCCATTTGATGGTGGAGTTTGAGACCAAGACCAGAGGCTGAGTATCGGTGGTTGTGTATCCCATTGCCAGGTTTGCTCGAGGGACCGTTCTGCTCGTAGCAGACGATGCTGCTGCTCAGGTGCATCGGCCGGCGACGCGACGACGTCAGACGACGACGTTTGCGGCTCCCTTCAGTGGAAATGAAAGTAAGTTAATGTGAACAGAAAAAAACTGAAGTTGGGCTCAGAAGTATTAGTTTCACTCACTAACCATAGGTAAAAATATATATAAAGAGAGGAAATGTGGCTATCAGGGATCGGAAAACACAAAAAATTACTCTCATAAGAAATGAAGAAATTCAAACTCATGAAAAAGAACCGCCGGTTTTGCTTAAAAAAAACTGTGTTAAGCAAAGAAAGGGTAACTCAAAATTATATACTTGGATTCAACGCAAAACTACAAACAGCATGTAAAAATAATGAAAAGAAGACTAACTGCAATAATGCCTTCGCCGATGAATACCACATGTATTCATCAGTGATGAATACGTGTGGTATTCGTCTCTGATCTACTAAACTAATGCATTCTAATAGTTTCTGTTGAGTTATAATGCGACGTAGTTTGTTATAATATGCTCTACTAGGTATTTTCTAATTTGTTTTAATGTGTTCTATATGTTTACCTGGTGAAGCAGGTGCTCCCTGTGGCAGGATGACAGGTTTCCTCTCCACCACCTGCCAATTGTCTTTGGAGTCGTCATCTGCTTCAGCAAAATTCTGCTCCTCAGCAACATCATCTTTTAATCTGCCTCCTGTGCGCAGCGGTCGAGATTCTTCTTTGGCAGATGAAATCTTGGTGCCTTCACCTGAAGAGTCCAAATCCTGAAATAAAATTATTAAAATATGTTATTTATATGTAAAAGAAAAAAACAGAAAAGGCAGAAAAGGAAAATAAAGGCCTAGAATATGCACAGGCCAATAACTTCTCATACTGGGTAGTTGCTACCCAGAATTCTTCAACACTACAGGTAGAGGGTCCTATAAAAATTCAGGTTATTCTAAAGATTTAACAGAAACTTGGGGCACAATATAATTCAAAGGAAGTAAAAATTATCTGCTTCACGTAAAGGCATCAATAAATATAAAAAAATCAATGCACTCACTCCAAATTGGCAGTAATAATGAAATATTGAGTACTATATTACTTGTTTATGACCAAAAATAAATACAGAACTCATCAACCACAAAATTGATATTTAGTGGATAATGTATGGAGTCATACATACAATAATACTAGAATCGGTTAAGAGGAAAAAGTATTGAACGGTTGAAATTATCTTTAAGCCAAAAGGGTACTACCAAATAAATGGTTAACTAGTGAAACAGAAGCAAGAATAAATTTTTAAAAAATAACTGAGGCTTAACAATCATAATTGCATCCCTGATATTCGACAAAAAATTCCACAGTAGGTATAGGAGAAAATTATAAAAAAATACACACTGATCCTACAAAAATTCAAGCAAGAAAAAAAAATTCATATGATGAACACTTGTTATCCCTTAACCAGACCTCAGCATCAGTATCTTCAGATCCATCCTCAAGCCCCTTGATGCGCAGGTATCGTGCCCCATGGATGAAGGCCTTCAGGCGATCTTGTTCAACACAAACCTGCCAATGAGGTGCAATATACCGTAGTAATTATATTATATCATTTATAAACATAATTTCATATAACAAGTGCAATATATATAAATAAATATAAATAACATATAGGTAATATATAATAATTATATGTTGTTGATAAATAATAAATATAATAAACAATATATAATATATATACTGTAATAAACAATATCAACACAGACATGAGAGCTTTGTGGCACAACAAAATTTTTTGTTGCAGTCCTACGCAACATCCAAATGAATTTAAGATCTTGCACAAACTCCAGTATCATCAGTAAAAACTGAGTCATAAATATAACATTCAGTAGAGTATCATACCAGCCATTACATTAGGGCTAAAGAAGTATGGAAGAATATTCTCATGCTTACCACTGGGTATATAATCTTGGTAATGGAAAATGTATATCAATTGTTAGCATTTACAGCAATAATTTTGTGGGTATTGACTAAAAGAAATAAAAAACTAACCTTTTATCATAAAATTTAAGCAAGTTTTTCAAAATCAATTGACATGTTTAAATATAACAGATTCTGATATAGAATGAAAAATTGCATTTTAGGAACAAAGGCAAATCAGTTAATATTATTTTATAAAATAGATTGTAAATGGTATACCTATAATTGTTAGTGAATGAGGTTCAACTTTTACCAAAAACTTGTCAACCAGTTTTTAATGAATGCACAGAATAAAATTTTTATAATACGTGCATGCATGAGATTAGTAAGTACCATTATTATTCCCATTTTCATGAACCTTGGCTTTGAGAGCATTGCTTTAGAGTGAGGTGCTCAGTGAATGCGGATTTTTTACAAATTCAGCATCCATCTTGAAAATTTAGTATTTTAGAAGCTGCTAAGCAAATCATCTCATTTGCAGCCACACACCTGTCCTGTATACATGAACTCCACCATTGCACGCAGCTCAGGAGTCCCAATGTCAGATGGTAGCAGAATAATGGGATGCTTACTATCAATGTCCTGAAAAAGTTGAAAGTTAGTAAAAAATTAAAGTCATGATAAGAAATTACCATAATAGAAATACAAAAATATTAATAGAAATATAGGTATGCATATGTGTGATGAAATTGTTCTCCAGCATTTTAGTTTATGGAGCATAAATAATTAATACTAAGCTTTAATATTTTGTTCTAAAAATTTTTTATTCACATTTTCTAACATTCTAAACTTTCGAGGTTTTTCTTGCATATGACATTCATTTCATTCTTATTGAGAGTTGAATATATCAATACAGTTCCAAGTTTAAAAAGTAAACACTGATAAATGCAAAAACTACAGTTGGCACAAAGAATGCATTATGAATTTTGATATTTCACAAAATATCAAACTGATAATAGAATTGATGGTTTTGTCTACAAAAAGGAGCAACACTATTTGCTTATAGGTTAATTGACTTATTATGTCAATGATGCTTCAAGTAAAATTTAAGAGATATCACAGAGATCAAACACTGTTAGAAAATGAACTATTTCTACTTACCCTGACAAAATCCCGGCAGACTGAGGAGCATGCAGCTAACACAAGTTGGTGAGCTTGAACTCTGCCACCATCAGTGCAAGCCAATGTACAATCTACTAAAAGTCCTTCTTTCCGCAACAAAACAAGTGTAGAAACAAGAGTATTGTGGTAATTATTCCACAGTACACAATACTGAGACTCTCTCCCATTACTGCTAGAGTTGGGAGGCATGGCTGACAAATTAGTGCTACTCGAACTTGCAATCAAAAATGCAATCTATCTTGATCAATATAGAGATTTATCAACATAGAAATTTATTTGCAAGGCTAGAAATTACTTTTTCGACTTATTTTGACCTTGGACAATTTCTGTAAGTTGAAAAAAAAGTTGCAGATTAGTGAGTTACATTTTAGAAGTTTTAAGGGATATCTTTTCAGTCTGGAGGATATCTAGCAAAGATTGCTTCTATTTAATTGCATTCTTTTTGTGTCAGAATACATCGTAATTTCACTTCTGCCTGGCATAATTACAAAAAGGCAAAAAAATTACAACAAATTTTTGTAAATGAAATTTTGAGGCCCTGAAGTCATATACCATCAAATGGGCTAATAAGGTTTGGGCAGGGTAAATGGGAAATACCTAATATATTAATAACAACAACAACAACCATTTTCTAAAAGACATGGGATTAAAAAACTCGAAATGGGCGACGGAATCATTTAGAGTTTGAAGTGAAGTTATTAAGACAATACCGGTATTGACATAATAGGGCAGAAATGTAAAAAAAATTCATATCTGGACCAATATCAATAGGTATTTAAATTCAGAAACAACTTTCCATCATTTAAATCTCATTATCTCAAGTGTTGAATGTGGATCAAATCTATTTATTGTGAAATCAAACTAGACATAACCACAACAAAATGTGTGACACTGTCTTGTCAAAGGTTTACATGGCAGCACAATGTGCCTATATGCCGTGAAAGATTTGCAGTTTATCCCAACATTTCGTGTGATTTTGAAAACTTTGTTGGTTTTGGTAAAATTGTTAATGTATTTTTTTTTCATTTTAGAACATATTCATTGCAAAAAATTTTCAGATACGGATAACCAACTAGTAAAAGTAATAATTAAGGGAGGCAGGCATGGAATACTACATCTACTTGGCAAGCGGCAACTGGATTTTCCATTTCTTTAAGCCGTGGCTTCACGTGTTTGCCAGCTGTGATTCTATTTCTTCAAGTTGTAAATTCCATATCTTGGCTGTGAAAAGCCATTTATGACCTGCAAACTTATTATTTACAAAGTCCCATGCTATTTACAAGATCCCATACAAAAAAAAAAACAGTCACTAGCATAATACCATTTGTCTTCACTTAAGCGGCAACTGAACAAGTGATATCTGATAATGCAGTATGGCCATTCTGACATGACCGCAACTACGCAATCTTCATGGAGGAAACGTTCTGAGTTGACTTGTTTTTACGTTCTGCATGTTATTTTAGCAGGAGGCAAGAGCATTGAAGTATATATACTGCGGATTGTGGTTGTGGAAACTTTTATGCAATGACATGTTTGCAAAGTGCAAACTGCAATTTTTTCAATCAAACAAAAATTTGTGACATTAGAGCCACAAGATTTCATAGGTACCTACTGAAATTATATGATGCTAGAGCTGCAATATTTCAAAAAAAAAACTTTTCCAGCCCTGAAGGCCATGGTCAGGAAGATGTGCCAGGTGCGCGGGAATTTATTTTGTCATTTTAACGACCTGCGCGGTGCGCCGTACTACGTTGGTAAAAAAATGCGCCGTGCGCTGTACTTTAGAAAGCTAAAATAGTTCTACTATTTTAGTCGACAATATACGCGAGTATATTGACTACGCGAGTCGAACTGACAAAAATAAAATGAAAGACATGTCCGGGTTACTTCTGACTCTTCCGGTTGTCCGCCTTGTCGGATACGGAAAGTACGGTAATCGTAAACTGCGGCTGTTATACATACGAAATGTAAACAGACGGTGTTCAGTGTTGCCATATGACTTTGGAGAAAATTTCTTCTAAAATAAAGATGGCCGGGATTGCACGAACATGTGCACGAAGATAATCAATTTTCATTACATTGCGCCAACTGTGCACAGCAATAACTTAAAAAAAGTGAAAATGCACGGGAAAATTCACCAAAAACATACATCATCCTGAGTGTGGCCTGAAGGAGGCATCACCAATACAATATTGGATTTTGAACTATGCGCAATTTCTGAAGTGTGGCACAGTGGCAGTTTCTGAGCTTAGCGTATTGTCACTGTGCCATCTGCGGTGGAACATTCAGAGGAAGGTGTAGCTTGGTAGGAAGTAGGTTTTTTGACCCATTTTGTTATGTTAACATGAGAATATAGTACCTATCTAGAATTCCACACTTTTTTTTGTAGCTAGAAATTGTGTTCCAGGGTGCAGAAAATGAGTATATATTAAAAGATATTTGGCAATGCATCAGCAGCAAACTTTAAGCCTTCTGAAGATTTTGCCAAGTGCCTGCCAACACATTTGAATAGAAATTAGGTATTGCCTTTTAGAAATAACTTTGAAAATACAAAATCTGAAGGACCACAAGAACACACAGTAGAGACTGTAGAGTAAGGTTTCTGCTATGCCGGATGGATCAGGATGCAGTGAGCCAGTGAAGCTTGTCCAAAAATCAGTTGCAATGTGTATAAGTCTTGCGGTGCGTGGAGTCGGTAGAGAGTATGGGACATAGTGGCAAACCAGAGATTTTTTAGAATCAGTTCATTTTTAATTTCCTCATTAACTCAAGATTTAAGACAAAATCTTATGTATGATAAATTCTAATGCTGGTATGAGTGCTATGGGATATACTATCAAAGTTGCTTGCAGTATTTTCTTATTAAAAATTACCCAGCAACAGATCTTGAAATGTTGAAAATGACTGGCAATGCTTTGGGCTAAAAATCTATATCTTGGGCCTTGGCAATGCACTTATTAATAAAAATAGCCTTTAGAGTTTACTTTAGACTAGAGCCAGAGGTAATGGCTGGGGTAAGCAAGGCGCGCGCCGGTCCGCAGTGGCGGTGGGCGGTGGCCAGTGTTGGGGTAAGCCGGTAAGAGATTTGAAAAAAATTTTTCCTTTGCAGATTACCTAAGTTCTTGTTCTACCTACTAGTCACTGTTTAATGGGAGCTTTTAATACTCATCCATGCAGCAGGCCATTGCAGACCCATCATCACCCATGGCAGGAGCAGATTAAGTTACGTCTAATAATTACAGAACGGAAGTTAACACATGAGTGACATGACTGTCTAAGCCTGTCTGCACTCTGCAGTAATAATACTATAATAGAGTTACCTACCTATGGATGGTGTTTTGTGCGATCACTGCGATGTGCAACAGGCTGCCCTGCAGTCTCATAAATCTCATTGGATTAGGATTCATAGCGGTTTCAGCGTTTAGTAGGTAGGCCGTTATTGGCCTGTCGCCAACTCTTAACATCGCGTCATTGCAGAACATTCACAACATTTTGCGGTCTCGAACACGCAACTCAATCAGTCTTACTGCAACAATTCTGCAGTGCTCAACCTCCCGGCCTCCTTGCCAAGTTGCCGATTCTGACCAGAAACTGGCGCACAGTGTTACTTTATTTCTATAACTACTCGGAAGTCGGAGTAGTAGGAATTTAGAATCATATTATCGAACCCGCGTCCCGCGCCAATCTTGGCACTGGTAGCCTACTCTGAACTTTAACCACTGGGCCAGTATGCTTTTTCGAAATACATTAAAAAAATACATTTGCACCCAAATCAAATTTTGCGTACTGCTTAATTTAAGTGAAGGGTATCAAATATTATCAATTACTCTTTAAGATCAATGTGACGACACAGAATCAGGAATCAGAAGCGAACAGTTGTAACAGTATCCATCAGTTGTAACGGAGAATCGAAAGCTTCCGGAATTCAAAATATGAAATTAGTAAAAATATTACATTTCAGCATCGATGAAACAAAAATTTTTGAGCATTTTTAGAAATTGGACAGCAGGATAAAAAATAATTATTAAAATTTTTCGTCACTGGTGTAGTACGAATCACGACTCGACAAATTCAATACACATTACGCGCTTGTATTATTAATTAATTTAATAACACATGTAATGTAGGTAATGTTTGAATTAATACATGTAATGTAATAATTCAACCATGGTTAATAGTGTCAGAAGCAGCACTTCTCATGAGACTCGACACTCGAAATCTGCGAATCCTAGACACATAATACGTGGTTGAACTAGTATATAATTCAACCATGACATTATATGCAGCAGCGCTTCTCTGATCCTCAATGTGAGAAGCCGGTCCCCGTGGTAAACAAGTTTGAGAAACTTCAGGACAAGCTTCAAGAGAGCAATCTCGAGTTCAGCCCACGGGAGATCCGCAACCCTACACATTGAAAATACTAATAATTAAGAACAGATTGAGACTAGTATTTAAGCACGTTAATAATGGAATCTCAAGATTGCCACTCAAAAACTATTGAATATTAAATATGTGCAACAGATTTTATTGTCTAACTTAATTTAGTGGAGTGGAACATGTTACCAAAAAATGCAAGGTAACTTGACTAGAAAGCAAAGTAATTGACAATTTTACAGAAGTAATACATACCACATATCATGTTCAGAAATCAAATCACTGGGTTGAACAGATATATATAATTTGCAGTTCATATTTTAGAGTTCGTAAATTGTAATATTCAATTAGGAACTCTAAGGTGTTTCGTCTAGATAGGCATGAGTTTGTTTCTATCTCCAAGAGACGAAAGAGTGACAGGTGAATCACATGCCTCCACCGTATTAATAAATATTTATGATTAGATAGGTATCAGGTTTTTATCGATATAAGTTCCGCCTATGCGCTACGTTGTCACTCGAGGACATTTTTTTTTGATGAATTGAATCAAACAATCGACCTAAGTGAACGGATTACTTTCGAAGCAAACCTAAGTGATGTACGAGTAAACTGTCAGGCATGTTGTAGCAAAGCCATAATGATAATTTAGTTGTCGTTACTCTACATAGTCAGTTGTTCATGGAAGTGAAGTCTTACATATGCAATAATTGTCCAACGTCGGACTTTATCATCAATTTCTACCACGTAAAATGAATATTACGTCTCAATTACAGATGACCATATCATAACATATAATTATAATGAATCTAATGAGACGCCAGATTGACACCGGTCGCAATGATGCACGTTATTTATTGCAGAGTCCGAAAAAGGTTAAGTGCAATGAATTTGAGCTGTTTTAAGAAGAAAAATGTTCAAGAGGAAAACATCAATTTTACGCCCCACGTTTGGCTGATTCAAAAATTTTCACGCATGGCACACGAAGCTACACCCGGTTGTTAGGGTTTCGCATTTGCGTACCTCTGAGGCGAAGATCCCACTTTACCCTTGTCGGACTGCATTGGGATTTGGTGCAACTGTAACTACAATTGGTACGATCATAACTTTTACAATTATACCGTTTGAAAAGTATTAAAGAGATGCCTTGGTGAAAACATAAGGAATAAAAATGTCGCACGTAGCCAAGTTGTTGCATGCAGCAATAGTTTGGGGCTTTAAATATTGACATGAACTGAAGAGATGACCGGCAAAGGCTCTTCCATTTGAATTTATCGAAAAACCGTAGAAACTGTGTTTACCATATTAGTTTGGCATTATGAAAGATTAAATGACACAATTCAACGATGGATTTCGTGTTTCACGTATTATCATTGCGCGCTTCAAAAAATTTCAAGTTTGTTTCAGCTAGGGTAGTTTATTCAAAAGTGAAGAGAAACGAAACTTATCAGTAAAAGAATTAGACTTATCTCTTATAATCATTTAACGGCGGGAAATTCCCCCTCGTATGTTGAGTATTCCTAGAAGAGAAATCACTGGAATCTCCTGTTTTTCGTGGGACTTTTCCGGAGTTGAAAATATTTCATTTGAAGTCCTTTATGCGCCATAAATGGAAGGTCAACATTTGCACGATCCGGGTATGGCAGCACCCAAGCAGGGCAAACAAACGTGACTTGCAGACTCAAGATGAGTGCGCTCACTTCGTAAGGTCGATGCAGCACGAGCGCATAATGTTTAGCTCGTCAGGGCAAATCGGAAAGGTACACTCATCTCCGGCTGACCAAAGGTCGTGATCCAGTCCAATTTTCATAACTCATAAGCCATCCTATGCTGTCTTATTGAAACCTTGTTAGATGTCAAGTGTTTCGGAATATACTTTCACTTTGGTGTCCGGCAGTCAACATTTGATGACCGACTTTCAATTCCTGTGAATTTAATTTCGAAATCTTTTAGAAAGTTGGTCTGTGTGCATCAAGCAGTGTGTCCAGAAACGGGGAAGTACCGCGATAAATTAAAAATGCCTTCATTTTTTTATTTATGAGGCTCTACAATTTCTGGATCTGAAATAAAATTATTTGGGACGTTCGAATCATTTGTGACAATTTTACGATTAATTTTAAAGCTCTTGTCGAACGGTCCGTGGCATCGAAATCTGTAAATGTGTTTTTATGGCCAAATTGTCGCTTTGATAGGGACGCCTCACACCTATATATACACATATCTACCTCTCAAGTACCCTTATGCAACCTTGAGTGATACATCAACCTTATTGAGATGTTATCGTTTTAAAGCCGCCTACAATTTGTTGTCCTTCCTGCCGTATAGACCAGGGTGATGACGCATCATTTTTATATATCCGGGTAGCTATTCAAACTGGTCAAGATATTCCAACAACTAAATCTATAGGCATATTTATTGCAACTAGCATCATGCAAGGCCGAAAAATATAGTTTGAAAAATGAAATGTAAATTAACTAGCTAATAGGGTGTGGTTTCATTGCAGGAAACGGAAGTAATAAGCAGCAAGACATAAATGGCGAACCGCATTGTGCTTATGAACAGCATGGCCCAAAATGATGAACCGCATTGTGCTTAAGAACAGCATGCATCGAAATGATGAACCGCATTGTGCTTTTGAACAGCATGGCCCAAAATGATGAACCGCATTGTGCTTATGAACAGCATGGCCCGAAATGATGAACCGCATTGTGCTTCTGAACAGCATGGCCCGAAATGGTGAACCGCATTGAGCTTAAGAACAGCATGCATCGAAATGATGAACCGCATTGTGCTTCTGAACAGCATGGCCCGAAATGGTGAACCGCATTGTGCTTAAGAACAGCATGGTCCGAAATGATGAACCGCATCGCATTAACTATTTTCTTGATGATTCATATCCTAATTAATTAGTACAGCAATAATTATTTCAAACATAATTTTTCCTGTTATTTGCCATATTGCATTAACAAGCTGCGCTATTGTTGTGAGAGAGCTTCCAACATATATAGGTTGGATGGTGAAAAAGGTTGAAGTTGGTGACCCAACGTGATGGTGAAAAAGCAGGAGAACTGAATATCAAATTGTTAGCCATCAAAAATTCTATCGTAAAAGGGCACAGAGGATGAAAATGCACGTGCATCGTTTCGTTCAAATGCACTCAAATGAAACACAAAATAATTAATCCGAAATTAGATACGATGACTAGCTATAAGCGAGAACCCCTAAATCAGAGATGGAGACAATATGGATCGGCTGGTCCAACCGTTAAGGTCGCCGGCGCTTGAATCGAAATGAAGTCACATATACATGTAGGAAAAGTTATAGGTCGCACGAAGGTTAAACATTTCTTAGGTAGGGAGATTGGAACTTCGCATGGAAGCTCAGTACTGATATACACACCCTGGAAATCTTTACATTCAACGGTCGCCGCTCAGTAGAACCGTCCAGTCACGCTGGCCAAATTCATAGTCATTCAACTTGCATAAACGATCGTCCAGGCGGAAGACAGAGCCGGTGGCATGATCATAGTCGAGGCTGGTCCTCTGGGTCTGACGTACTCGGTTGACTCATCCGGCCAAGTTAGACGACAAGTGTAAGGGCAATTCAAATTATGGCGAGAAGATAACTGGAGGACTGCAGCGTCGGAGGTGAATCAAAAGGCGTACCGCAAGGAAGCGTTCTTGGACCTGTTTTGTTCGTCGCTTTTATAAACGATCTACCAGAAGTAGTGTCAAGCGTGTGCTCCATGTATGCCGATGACACAAAAGTTTATAATACAGTTAAGGATGAGTCAAATAAAATGCAACTGCAAAATGATCTTGATATTTTCTTCTCGCTTCGAGTCACTAACATGTGGAACAGCCTCCCTGAAGATATTGTTGACGCTCCGAGTATGAACGCGTTCAAGAACAGACTAGACAAGGCCATGCATGAGCAAAATTGAGCATATGTTCAGTCTTAAAATGCCTCGTACCCTACGGAACATCTGATATCTAGAAGCGATTTTAAATCTACCGTCCGTAAGGCCAGTCTAGTCAAGAAAAGTACAAGAATCGGCGACAGGCCTATCCAGGCCTATTTATTTAATGCCGAAGATACTATACTATACTATACTATACTAAAAGGCCTGTCTCGAAAGAACACCACGCGGTAGCCGCGTCTAGCCCCGTTCGTTCAGGGAGGGGGCTCAATCAAACCAAACCAAACTTATGTTCAATTTCAGTTTCGAGTAATGCGTCGGCATGAAAGAAGAAGATCGAGAACGACAGTCAGAAAGTCGTGCCGCTACACTATGACGCATCAAAATGTGTATCAACATTTCAGTATAGGACCCATGGTCAAGTGATGAAATTTCATAATGTTCATGTCAACATCAAGTTGTGTTGACTGCGGCGAAGGCCTCTCTACATACAGCAACTATGATTCTCTCGTAGCTCCGCTGCTGTCGAGGACGTGAATATATAATGACGTTGCATTTTCACGCGAATTTTGACGATACGTTGAAGTTTTCACCGAACGTTTAGTTCCTATCACTGGATGACGGTTCAAATAGGGCCTCATTCACGAACACGGCTCCCGCCACTTTCTTATCCGTACATCAATAAATACTTTTAAAATGAATTCTTCTGGTGATGCATGGTTCTGAAAATCAAATATTCGTACTATTTTAAACTATAAAATGAACTTTTGCCAATCACGAATTCATATACGAGCGGGAAATTATTCAAGAGCAAGGCAACAGTCTTCGATTTAGCTGCATGTAGGACCTAAACCTGTGCTGACTCCATGCTGTAGTGTATAGCCAATAGTCCACAATTTTATTGCTGGAATGAAACAATGAATCATAAATCACATTCCATAATCTTACTGATGACAGTAAGATCATTAAATGGATATTAAATTTCAGCTCCCATTAAGCAGTGAATTTATTTGCTGTCAGGCATGTGGTCTATTTAAGTATTGCAGGACTACTAAGTATTGCTGTCAGGACATCTACAAATATTGTTTTTGTTTAAAGCAAAATTTACGTTGATCGTCAAGCGAACTCTTTGAAACTACGCACACGAGAGTTCAACAAGCTGAGTTACGCGTAAAAAGACACCTAAGAAGAATTAGCCTTTGACAGTGATAAAACTACTATTAATGAACATATCCAACCAAAATGAACAGCTGGGATATTTTGCAAGCTTTTCACTTCACTGAGAAGTTCAATTTAGATCATTCTCATCCAACTTTGTAGTGGTTAGTTTGCCTTCAATACCTACAAACTAACTAAAACTGTAGAAATAATGACGTGATATTATTTGCATATTATTACTTACTAGCCCATTCAAGTCGTCAGTTTCGTTTCAGAGGGACAAATTGATATGAAAGCAAGAACTTGTATCTCTTCAATTTGAGCGTTAGTCCGTACCAGTCAGTACTTTTACAATTCAAGAATATGATTAGGCCATTATAAGTTCATTGTTTACCGGTGACATTCTTCACCGCTTTAATATGCAGGGAAAATAATGAAAGGATCAGTTAGCATTGAGATTTAATAAAAAATATACGAATAATGTGTCCGGGTAGAGCAATAACACAACATTTTGTAAAGATCAAGCGAAATTTTGAAGCGCTTCAACTTACCCTGGTTTTGGGGGCGCCAGTAAAAGTATCAAAGTAGCGATAGACAATTGAAACAATTTCTCTATTACAAAGGATATGGGCGACTTGACGAATGTTACCAGGTGGTAAAATTTACATGAATCGGTCATTGCAAAAACCGTTTGATGGCGGAGCTTATAAAATCGGCACATATTCTAGTAAAATATCGATGCATTTAAAAGTAGTATTATACACTTACACAGCGACTCAATCAAAAAAGGTTTGAAGAAACCAAAGGACATGTAAAAAATTACTTCATATGCAGTCCAGAAGGTGGTTGACGTTACAAGCTCGCTTGGTTACCATGGAAAATTATTCCTTTCTTTCAACATTTCAAACATTTAACATTTAAAATTTTCATATTATTAGCTTATTTTGTCCACGATAAAAAAAGAACAACAGTTGTGCAATATGGTGTCCACTGATGGCAATAATGGAGAAAAATAATGGACGAAGACCACAACGAATTATCCCTCCCATAACCGTACCTTTTTTTAAATACAGTTTTATTTTTTCTAAAACTTGCAGTGTAGCCTTAACCTGACTTCGGAATCGCGGATACAAAGAAATGTATAGGCGACTGGCGCAGCCTAAGCTGCTACTTAAAAACAACAAAAGTTCATGCATTAGGAGAACCGTGCTTAGTATTAAACTGGACTAGATCCTCAAATTTTAATTTTAAATTTAATCTAATGTGATGCTGGGAACAACTACCTAGGCTATATATTAGGAAACAAGAAAATAGTGCGCTTCAAAAACTTAATGTACATAATATAAAAGTATTTTCCAGAACTCAACATAGTGAAGGGATGCAGGCTTATACCTATTTTCAGTTCATCTGGTATTTGCACTCATACTGCAGCCGGATTGCGAGTATCTATTTTCCTAGTGGAGTATCACAGACAAAACATCGATGCATTTTTGTTATTTTTGATGATCGCTAACAAATTAACTAGGGCTTTCTTGGGTGAATTCAGAAATGAAAAGGGGGATTAATGTCACTTGAGAATAGCTTTTTGTTTAAAATGCATGATGTGAAATATATAAGTGCATTAAATCAACAACTGCAATTAACACGGGTGTTCAATGACACAAATGAACAAGCATGTATTATAACAGAGCGCAGTAATATTAATATTTCAATGCGTATAATCAATACACACTCGTAAGATTTCACGAATAGAAACGGTTTAATCACTGCAATTTATACTACATTTATAGTTTCAATAAGACAAAATTTCCCACACAACACACAAAAGTCTCAATCAACCTACACTATATTTGTGTGCTAGCTCTTGTACCGTGAAAATTTTAGTAATTCAATTTATTCTCGACTTTAAGAATTTAGAAAGTTAACGATCACGAATTCAATGCGCAACGTGTGAATTTTGAAATCACTGACAATTGATCTTCAAATTTACGACGAAGAGCATATTTGTACATTACTGTTTTATACGGGTATGTAGCTAAAAACTTCATTTGGATCACCCAAACAAAATCCAAGTGAGAATTTTAAATCCGTGAGGCAACAGCTTTAAAAAGTCACCTAACATTTTTAGTATTGATTGATTTCTTTAAAAATTCAATTATTAAAAATAAACAATATTCCTATAAATATTTCCTTGGATATTTCATATTCTAGGAAAACGAAAATCGTAGACATTAATTTAAGTCATGAATCCTTAGCTATGTACACATGACATTTTCAGGTGGGGTTGTCGGACAAGTCAGCCGCTGGGTTGTCTATCCCATTCTTGTGAGGAGCCTCAACCTGAGAACCTGGCGCTGCCACGGAAGATCGGCTGGACATGGTCGCCACGATCGTGTCGGGCTTGCCGTTCTGTTCGGCTTCAACGTTGTCCATGGCCATGTCAACCTGACAAGTGCAATGAAACCAAGTCTTTAGTGGGAAACCATTGGAAGCATCGATCATAAAATCATTAAGCATATAAAATTTTTTACCAAACCTATAATTTTAGAATAAATTCAACATTAGAATATTTATAAAAAGAATTTTAGTTTTATAACTCAAGCGAAACGACAGAAAGAAGAAATTGCAACGGTCGTTTAAGGAATTATCACGATGGGAATATTTTGGTTCAACATTTAAGGTACAAAATATTAATAAAGTGCTGGTCATGCTCATGACTGGAAAAACTGCGTCGTAACAAAGATTCACAACACACAGCCGCTGTCTTGATACATTTGAATAATTTGAATATAATTTAATTGCATGTCATTAAAACTTCACACTAAATAAATTTACCCGCCATCGTACTCGCCCTACACGCCATTGTACTTACCTCACCCACCCTCGCACTTACCTCACCCACCCTCTCACCCGCCCCCTACTCACCTTGCCCGACTTCCTGGACTTATAATATCTGTAGCCGAGGCGACCAAACCCGACAATCACGAGGGGGATCGGAGTGAAGAGGAAAACTGTCGCGGGGATGACTGCAAAAATAAAAAAAAACTCGAAATAAGTTTGCGAACTGATGAAGTACAACTGAAGTGCGGCAGCCAATATAATATCTTTCATGCCGCTATTGCGCGCCAACATCGTATCTTCAACAATATCTTAAACTAATATCTCGCCAACATTTCGTGGCAATATTTACTGACAATATCTTCTGACAAATCTCAACAGCATTATATCAATATTATATTATGTATTCTCTCACCATTTTTCTTACCAATATTACATTAATATAATATATCCTGCCAGTATTACTTGACAATATCTTCCAGCTAATATGAGAAAATTTTCGCGTTAATGTCTCTTGCCAGCAACTCATGCTTATATCAAATGTTGTTCTCCTGTGTCTAGCGTGCTCTGTGATGCAGCGAGCGTGATGTTTACCTGTGTCTAGCGTGCTCAGGGGCGCGACGAGCGTGACGTTTAGCATGAAGATCGCTATGGTGACGCTCACCTATGCCTAGCGTGCTCAGGGGCGCGACGAGCGTGACGTTTAGCATGAAGATCGCAATGGTGACGCTCACCTATGCCTAGCGTGCTCAGGGGCGCGACGAGCGTGACGTTTAGCATGAAGATCGCAATGGTGTTGTTCTGGATGCCAGTTTCGATGCTGATGGCCACCGCGTCTTTCCGTGGTTGCCTGAAGACGAGGCCAAGAATCAAGCCCAGAAAGTAGCCTATGAAAGGCAGGGCTAAACTCCCAAGAATGATCTGGTGAACAGAAAGAAATGAGATGTTAAAAATGGTAAAAAATATAACTCAGTACTCACTGCAGTGAGTGACAGAGAGCGCATTTTCTCGTCGACGAAAACTTGAGGTCACGGACAGACGGACAGACGGACGGACAGACAGACAGACGGACATGGCGAGCATAATAGTGCATTTTTTCCATAAATGAGAAAATGCGCTAAAACAGCTAACGTTAAAATCTAGACATAATTATATGCAGGAGAAAAATAGAAAAGTTAAACGCAATGAGCACCGGTTGAATATTCTCAAAAATGCCGATCAGCCCGATTTAAAGCGTATAAACTACATTAATGCTTATAAGGGATTATTAATAAAATGTTCGCTTAGTATCAACTCCACGCATGCTGCAGCAGTCGTGGTAGCCTTGTAATGGTGAGCTGTAATCACACCAGACGTCTGACGTCGGTGCAACGTTGATCAAAGAAAATTAACTCGTCATCAATGTTATTTGAAAGTGATCGGTCTTGTGGGGATACGTTACTTGACCACTGCGGTCCAAGCTTCGAAACGTCTCGTAATTCATAAGATTAATACAGGTTTAATAAGTCGTTTTTAAAGAAATGTTAAAGCACACATCTAAGATAGAATTTTCATTTTATTGAAAAATGTGAAAAGTAATTTTTTAAAATTAGATTTAGATGCAATAATTTCTACTACACATTTCATATTTTGATCCAATCTCCCAGTTTCGCATGTCTTACTACAATGATGTCTTACTATAATCTAACCACATTAATAGCCATATGTCATACTATAATCTAGAAATAAAAATAAATTTTCAGGTCGACATGATGTCACGACGCGAAAAGTATCCTGGACACGCAGTCGAATATATATAACCCCCATACATTTACACAGCAATATAGGCTTCAAACACGCAAATAATCTCTCACTATAATCTTACGTACACCCCTGGGTATTGGGCAAAGTTCGTTGTCGTGTTTAAGACTGGCACCACATATGTATTGGGGCTGTTCCAGCGAGTATCGAAATATTTACCCTGTCGGGGTATTACCAGTACACTACAATTCGTGCATAGTGGTAGAATAGTAATTCATTGTAAATTACATTGGAAAAGCTTTAACCACACAATTAAATTGTATTTCTAAATTGGTACGAAAAAATTTAATTACAAAACTCAAGATTTTCATAATTTGAAATGGTATTCAAATGTCAATTCTCTGTTTTTTTTTAATGTGCGTTGGAACGTGTTTGCCTGTAAATTTCATTGATAACATTTATTATTCGGGATGATGGGATTCTTCGGAATATCGGAATTCTTAAATTGTACGGATTATCGATCTTTGGCAAAGCCGGAATAACCCGCTAATTAATATTTAAACAGTAAATAGAAACTATTCAACTGTAACAGAGCACCTCTGAGTAATAAGCACTTGATAAAAATTAGCCAATGATATTAACCTCGATTAAAAAATTATTTGTCCAAAGTAACATTACGAAGAATTGAGAACCGAACAATCTTCATTCAAACTGAGGCGGCTCGCTGTAAAATTTCGGAACCTGAAATGAAACGTATTGTTCAATATTAAGAGAATCGCCCATTGAGTGTTCTAGCGAATAAATTAAACTATTGCCAAATTAGAGGAATTTCCATTTAATCTTCATTAAACGACGGGAAAATTTTTCAGCCAGAGAAGTGATCAGAGTGCTTGAGAGAGAATATTAACGAAAGTTGTATGCATACTACAAAAAAATTCAACTTTTCTTTGCACTAGTTTCCTTGCAACTCATATATTCATTACTGGTTCTAATACCATTGATTTTACCTCTATTCCTCTTGCACAATATCCTCTTACCTCCACTCTGATCTAACCTCTTTTCAAAAATGAGAGCGATACATATACATTTGTTCTATTCTAATTTGGTATGTTCACTTACTTTTGTGTTCATGACTGAGAAGATGTAGCGATACGAAGCGCATCCAAATGCGATAGTGTACAGTAGCACAAAGATCGAGAACGGAGTCAAACCCATCTTGACGTATTCTGAAATTCTATGGAGCAAACAAAACAATATTCTATGAGACAAAGGCCATGTTCAAAAATAACACAACGCTCACGTGTAACAAACAACCTCCTTCGAGATATTGCATACCTTATTGGTAACTTTAAACTTATGGCTCAATTATTGCTCATTTAACAAGTGAAATGTTGAAATACGCAATTAATTAGGAACACGCATTTGAGTCTGAACACACCCCTGGGTAGGAATGCGCGCATGGGATAGGATCGAGTACCTATGTTTAGTGACACGCTCCTAAATTTCAATTCATAAATGGGTAGAAAACACACTTTGCTAAAAAAACGCACCTGGGTAGGAATCTCTGGATGAGGAGTCCAATGAAGCAGGGCCCGATGAGAGTGACGAGCAGCATAGCGATGTCGCCGAAGGGAATCGAGAACGTAGCGCCCCGCACGATCACCGGACCCAAGAGTAGCACCCACGCAGGCAGCGCCACTGAACGGGAACATTGGATCATTTCGCCCCCTCTTACGTTCAATGAATTAATGAGAACTTACCCATAAATTTTGTTGCTGAGATTTGACAATTTGACAAGCTTTTAGGCTAAAAATTGCTAAGTAAGATTTTTAGGGTAAGGTAAACGAATAGCGTCAAAATATGTAAAGCTGTGAATACAAACGTGCGAAGACAAATGTTACTCATTATTACTAATAAGATTATTAATCATGAGTAACTAAAATTAGATTATTCAAAAAGCTGCAAATGATAGATGAAGGTTGTGAATAATATAGAAGAAGTATCGATATGATATCCCATTTCGACGAAACAAACCAAAAGCCATGATGGTAGAGACGAAGGTCATGACGATGGACATGTCTAAGTTTCCGCCGAGCAAATGCGTCCACATGTTCGACTGTCCACCGCCAGGGCAGCAACCTGTCAAGAAAACGGCCAGCTGGAAGACGGGTGTGCCGGCAAAGACCGTCTGGCTCAAGCCGAAAGCAACCTGTCGATTGGAAGAAAGAGGAGGCCTCCTGAGTTACGGAATTATAATATAGCGGTTTTAATAGCGGTTTCAGCGTTTATTAGGCCTGTCGCTGATAAAAATCAGCCTGTCGCTGATTTTTAACATCGCAGATTATTCACAGCTTGGTGCGGTCTCGAAAACGCATCTCACTGCTTCAATTTTGCATTGCTTAACCGCCCGGCCTCCTTGCCGATCTGACCAGAAACTGGCGCACAGAGCTGGGTTCGAACCCGCGCCTCTCTGCTCCAATCTTGGTACTCTGAACTTAAACCACTGGGCAATTAAAATGTATATTTGAGACGCATCAATTTAATTCGAAGCGATACTTGAAGACATACACACTTATACGAATGCATGGCTCAACGGATTACTTTGAAACAATATATGAGTGAATAATTATTATTTATTACACATCTAATAATGCAAATAGTAAGTTATTATCGGACTCACCAGGGGCATGCACACATACTGGCAGAAGAGACCAACGATTGGCCCGACGGGTCTCTTGATGATATTTTTGACCAATTCAAGATTGATAGTAGAGCCGATAGTTACGTTCACCAAAGCCACCAGCACGCCTAGTGACGTCGAGAAGATGCTCACTAGTTTCTGGTACCTCAGAATCACGGATGCTTCTAGTTCACCGGTGCCGAGAACCTACATGAGGCAATAAAGGTAGTCAGTAAACGGAGAAAAGAATTCCGAGTGCATAAACCTATTTAATAAAAGGTAAAATTTTAAATTTTAGTATCAAAAGAAGTTATTTTATGTCGCCTTGCATCAAAATTTCAGTCCATGAAGACGAGGACAAATAAATATATATTTATGCCGAATCAGACGTAATAATCCCTACGTATATAAAAAATACCTGTACAGATCCAGCGGTGCTAAAATTGAAGGGAAACTGCAGCAGCGCATTAAGAAAAAACGCGTTAATAACTCCTAACCTTGTCTTGAGCATCCAGCAGCTGCACGGTGATGGTTGAGACACCTATGAAATCGGCCGACACGTTGAACGTGCCACTATACGTGACGTTAGTTCCATCAAAAATTCCAATGACTTCCGACTCAACAAGGACTGTGATCACGCTCTGGTGGCAGAAATAAATTAAACTAAAAAATACGATGTCTTTGTTTATCTAGCATCCAAGATGCAGACCACTGATCGTAAATTTTGTAGTGGAAAATAGTAGGACGGGATTAACTAATAATTTTGAAATTATCGCAGTCAAAGTAATACAAATATTATTACCAAAAAAATGCATTTCGTACCATCGCACCATCGAGAAGCAGATAGATTATCATCAACACAGAGAGTTTTATTATCATACACACTAAAACGGAGGAAATATTACAGATAGTATCAAACAAATATGACGAGTAGGAAACAGAAGTGGATTGGAAATTATGAAACATAAAATTAGATAAAACACAATTTGAATGGTTGGTAAATTTATGAATTTATATTTACGGGACTTCATCAGTCCTGTAAATTGTAGTCGTATGTTTTAATCAAATATCAGCAAGCTGTTTGCTACTATGTGATTCCGCTCACCTCATCAGTGACATTAATGACAACTTGGGAAACGTCCAGCAGTGTGGTGGTCCAGACGACGTCGTAAACATCATCGAGTGGCATCTTCAGCAGATTACCAGGTGTGAAGAGCACCTACGGGCATAAACTTAACAATGGAGATTTGTGTGTCGACACGCTACACTTGAGTAGTTATAAAAAACCCGCATGGCATCTGCTCCGGTGATTGAGGAAGGAGCAAACATCGTAGTAAAACTAAATTGAAAACGGGAGCGGTTTCAATCAATATCAGTCGGAATATTTAGCAAGAAAGCTCGGGGATTAATCCCATTATTCTTGAAAGTTTTAATCACGACACGCCTCGTTGGCGTAGGAATAACCACGAGTAAAATAAGATAATTCTTCAGAAAGTGTTTCTGTTTTATTACTATTACCGAGAGATGAACAGATACACAAAAATATTACGCAAAACTAAAATCACGCGGCAACTTTCCACACCTGAACCGGAAGAGATAAAAAAAATGACGTGATTGGTGATATATACGGTCACAGTCTCGGTAAATGCCATAAACTCAGCAATGGTCTCCAAATCCGGAAAGATTTGCTAATAAACTTACATGGCTGAGGATTATACCGAACTATCGATAGCATTTATTACTCGAATAAAACGTTATAAATCATCAAATGACTAGACTTTTGATCAAAGTGCACAGCAAAACTGACTTGTCATGAATCATGATACAATTTGACCTTGCCATAACTTCATGCGCAGGCATGACATGCGCGATGTCGAATGAACGACGTATGATTATATTTACTGAACGTATAGTTATAGTTACGACGTATGATTATAGTTACTGAAGAATGAAGACCCATTTTCCACACTAGCATCATTAGAAGATATTCTGAGTATGAAAAACACATGTCATGCGTGAGGTAAAGACAACGTTTAGTGTAATCAAGTCGACGTAAGCAAATTATGCATAATAATGAACATTGTATTTACTCACCGCTGGTGTTGCAGGTTCGGGCGTGGTGGCTTCTTCGGCCACCGACGACGACGTGACGGCGGCCAATAACATCAGCAAAAGACATCCTCGGTGCGTCATTGTAAGAAGACTTTTTAGGTGAATAATCTTGTGATGAATGCGATGACTCAAGAGTTACGGTTGTGGTCGAATGCAGTTAGTGTAAATAATTTTTCCCTTGCATCGGTAGGTTGCTCGTCACTATCATCTGCAGTAATACATCGACTGCTCACAAACTGATAAAAATCACTTCCCAAAACTTCTGTTTCCGTAAAAATTTACTTTCATTTTTAGTTGTTATGAGGTTTTCTGCACTTCTGTTATAAAAATGCACGGCATTACGCAGAAAATTTTGATATTCGAACAAGACCAGCACAAAATGTTTACACAAACTTATGCAGTTCTATAGAGAATAAAACTTTTGCTATCTGGTAGAAAACATTCCGGAAGAATTTTAAAATCTGTAAAATGAGCAGAAATAACCGAATTGTTTCTTTTCGAGAGAGATTTGCCATGAGGTATGTTTTTTTTTATTCAAAACGAGGCTTAGCAGCAAAGGCATATTAAGCATACAGTTTAGCGATAAGCACATTGTACACATACGGTTTAGTGTAAAGTTACGTCTTGTACACAAGTAGAGTAAAGTTACACAGTAAAGTTACACAGTTACAGTCAGGCGCACAAAACTTACACAAGTTTTACGTAAAGCGCCTGACCAAATTCTTAACAGTAATTAAACATCTGTTGAATCATTAGTGAGATTTGTAGAATTTGTACACTAGTAAATCACGCAAATATTCCATCAATTAAATTACTCTAAAAACAATCAATTCACAGTAGCCAATGTATTAATTAAATTTATAAATTTATAAAAAAATTCCATTCTAATATAAAAAAACAATAATCTATGCATGCAGTGAAGTGGTTAAGCATGAAATCTTGATTAAGGAACCTTCAGCAAACTGCAACTAAGAAAATTTTTCTAGAGTCGATAGTTGTTGCATAGTTGTTGATAGAAAAAGTAGTTGCAGTTGCAGCATAGTTGTCGATAGCTGCTGTCCCGTACGTTGAGGCTACCAAACAGATCGTTGCAAAAAGCAAATGCAAATATACGTGAAAGGGGATTTAACGATCGAGAATTCACTCAAAAGGTCGTAGGCGTTTGCTTGCTATTGACCTTCTGTTTGTCAAAAATGTTTAGGATCTGGCCGTTTGTTAAGACAGCTACACATCTGTGTTCGTCCCAAAAGGCAACAACCAACGAATTCCTGCAACTACGTTGCATGCCTTGCGTTCATTATCGGCTTTGTATGGTAACAACACGTATGTCGATTGTGGTCACCCAACTTGTTCCTCGAAATTGCAAGCACTTACTTCAGTCAACTCGCAAGATGGGTTTGCTTGTTACTGCCGGAAATTCGCGTTAATTTAATTTTCGATCCGAGTTAATTCAAATTTCTTTTACTCCCAGATCCTGGAAATGGAATTAGACCAATTTGATTGTCTATACTAATTTGGTGTGCGAATACGCCTAACCTTTCGATCGACGCTCAGGCAAATAGTTATTATAAATTACGGCAAAGCATTCCGATTGTAGCCAGGAGGAAAATGCCGTTAGATTTAGATCTCCACATAGTTCATTTTGATAGCGCACAAAATTATACCTACAATAAGTACAATTGAATAGTGAAAGTTGATTTCACAGCAAAAATTGTCTACCTTAGGCAGAAGAGAGCAAAGTAATTTGTTATAGCAGATTTGCTTTAATTTGTTTCCGGCTCAATGTACAATATCGTATTTGGATCGAACATTGAGGTGCTAACATACGTAATAATACGATGCTAACATAATCACCCATTATATTAGCACCCGTCTTTACCAATAGATATACGAGAACCAAACTTGAAAGGTGAATATCTTCCTTAGGCGTAATTCATAATTAGATTTTTGAAATAAAAACTAGACCAGAATTCACACATGAGTATGAGTGAAGCACCTCATGGAAATATTGTACAGGTACGTTTGGCAGTTTACCTGTTATTTTATACGAATGTTATTCACTGCCAGTCCAGAGAGCCTCGCTCCAGTGTAAGAGATGGAAATCGTTTGTCATTTTTAATGTAATGTGAGGCGGTAATATTTCTTAAAAAAATGGTTTATAATTCTAAATTTTGTTCGTATGTTTAGTTTAGAGTTCACCTGAAGAAATGTGCGGAATGCTAAGGTTCGATGATTATTGTTACGTGGAAAGCCACAGTGGAGGTATATGTGTTGTATAAGGATGCGACACCAATTTGTAAATAATAGTTGTGGAATCGTTTTCGTGAATAATCGATTTTACGCTTATGGATATGTTTATTTGTTTAATTTATCATTAGTTATTTGTGTATTTTTATTTGATACTTCTAGGAAAGCCTCAAAGCCCAAGATGAGAGCTCAAATGCAAACACTGAATTCCAAATTTGAAGTCTAAAACTTCAAGCACAAAATGGATGCCACACACTTAAGTATCAACGTTTGAGTGTTTATTCTTAATATTCTACAACCCGTGATTATTTTGTTTTGTTATTTGAAGAGTGGTGAAGTATAGTGTTTCAATTATGATTCATTCAGTGACTTTAAACTTATGCGATCATTTAGGCAAGTAGGTTTTGGGAGCCCCAACAACATCATCACAACACAACACCTTGACAACGAGTCCACCGTGTCGTGCGTCTGACTTTATACGGGATGGATAAGCACGACAAAAATCAGAGATAGCGGACATAAATTATGACAGCCCCGCAATATAGAAGTAAAGACCCGCAATAAAATAATGAGTTACAAGTAAGGAAGTGTGAAAGTTATGGAATATACTGAAATCATGCAATTTATTGGCACCTCGAGAAACTTAAAAGATTTTGATAAGGGAAAGCGTAGTTTTAAGCATAGGAATGTAATTAAAATGTGAAGGTATTTAAGCGAAATAGGGAAAACTAATTTTATTAGGAATGGTTTTTCGGTGAAAAAATGCAAGTAATTGTATGATAATTCTTTTCTCTTTAAGAAAACTAAGCTACGATAAAACTTATACTTCGCTTACCTTCTGTTGAGATACCTGTTCGAGATCATCACTATGCAGCCACTAAACACACTAACTATCGTGGATGCACAATTGCACATGCTCATAATTGTGACCTAGAAGTATGAACTGGATGTCTAGGAACACAAGATTATGGGTACACTTCAAAATTATTATCGATTTACACAGCAGACACACGGTTATATGAACAGCATTGCGCGCAATGTTTACTTGGTTAATATACTGAGAAATTAACTTAAATATTCTCAAAAATCGTGATGAAGATCATTTTGTCGGCACCAACCAGTGAAAGTCTAATGGCTATGTCGTTCCTTTTCTAAAAACTGAAATACACAGTGCCAATCATACTTTTATAAAAAGTGGGCTTCTCGAAGATAATCTTCATCTAGGCGTATGGCACCTTTGAATTTGTCATACGTTGTCATTATAATAGATAATAATCCAATGTACATATAAATGTTTATTCTCAACATATTTAATTTGTTTCAATAATACTTTTTGCGGCCGCTCAAGCCCATTTTACACAGTTCCCGAGCGTCGTCTTCAGTGCAACACCTGTTGGTCTACTGACGCTTCAATTGTCAACGCGGGAACACACGCATTACGCCGACAGGATAAAGACTACGACCTTGTGCCATTCATTCACATCCTGCTGACGATGTTGCTGATTTTCATCTCCAATCACATCGCACGGTCTGATTCTGCGCCAATCAGAACTGATCGGTACAGAACGAATTAGAGGTAGAGGATGAAAAACTAAAAAAATTCGTGCTCCAAATAACGTTTCAACTATGTAAAAATTTGGTAAAATTAAGGTTGTGAATCCAATGATCGGAAGATGTTCACCCTAGTTGAATTATCGGGATGTATTCATCTCTAGATTGAGATAAATTTGTGTCAAGCGTGTAGTCGAGAGGTGAAAGACAATTGGACAATTTGTAAGAATTGTCCAATCAAGAAGTGACGGTCCAATGCGTACACAAATAATAAATTCCGACGAGAGTGTGAACACATCAAACATTTCTGGTTGGGTAACAACCACTTCAAGCTTTTTCTCGTTACTGAAACAATGCCTATTGAAAAGAAATTTAGATCTATTAGATGTGTGCAAATTTGAACACCATTTTAAATTACTTGTTCGGTAATAACTAGCTGAACGAGCCAGATTCAAACAAAAGTAAAAATTACACATTCCACAAAAGATTATAATACCAGCCATAGAAAAGGAAAGTATTCGTGTACTTGTGCTGAGGACTTGAGGTCTCTCAATGACAAGTAGGTTATATTGTAGGTCCCTTAATATTCAATACGAGGTGTAAATCTCGTCGTCGTCATTCTGATCCCTATCGCGTTCTTAGTAACACTTCGAATTCGTGACGTACTAGTAATGTGGAATCATTCAATTTCAGCCAATGATTCGGTAAGAGCATTGTTTTTACAGTTCTATTATCAACTTTAGTTTAGTTGATCATTAGGCAAATTACATGAAACTTGAAATAGCATTTTTATAAACTCTCCTACAAACTACGTTCTTATCTATTTTTCTATAAAAACTACGTAGGAATTCAAGAAACATCGTTCCTGTATCAAATCTTTTTTAATCCTGGCCTGAAGAAGCCCACAGTTTCTTCTTACATTGCATGGGTAGTAAGGGTCTTGGGATTTATCATGGATAATAGTTGGGTGGTTTACATTGACTGGTGAAGGTTGGCACCGCTACACGCTTCTTCAAGATGGCACGATTCGTGCCTGCCAATAAATTCCCTACTGAATTTGATGAATCAAATTTTGTTAGGCAGTTGTCATGTTAGAATATATGAAGATTAAACTTTCCGATTGTTAAAATGCGCGTAATAACTTTTGCCCATACAAAGTACCTAATGATAAATAAGATAAATCTATGTAGAGGTTTATAAATTCAAGTGACTGCTTCTTTCAATGGCCAAGGGCGCAAAAAGAATTGGGATCAGAACGAGCAAAACATCGGATGGTGAATGATAATCTAAATATAAGTTTTGACCCTCCCGAGTGAATTTCGATATTTGATCCTATGTATTTCCGGTCAATGAATAGATTGTGAAGAGTTTTGCATTGTAACAGAGAGCGCTACTTAATTTACTTACAAAGAAATAAGACATACTTAACGGACTTAACGGACACAATGCGCGGTGCTGGTTAATTTGAGGCAACTTCCCGTCGAGTTGGCGGCGCGAATACAAAGAACATTTCGATATGTGAAGCACATGTGAAGTCACGAGTTGAACGTTCTTCAAACAATTCATGTGATAAGACCTATAGATTTCGTTCTAAAGTAAATAACATAATTGGAGAAGCATTGGTCAGTGAATGTTTCTTTCCATGCAAGGCAGTAAAAAGTTCGG